AGAATTCCCGTTTTGCAACCAGAACATATACAGGGTGCGGCCGTAAAAATTTTCACACTTCGCACGCCTAGCAAAAATCGAATTTCAAACGTACATACCTGAAATTGGGAACACGAACGTCGTTTATTCCAAAGTTTTTTGCTTATTTTTTTCAGACGTGAACTCGGGAGTAGCGAATTATTAGAAAGATAACAAAAATGGCAGACGTGCATTTCCTATGGCCTATACCCGCCCGTTCGCCGTCTGCTATCTGATTCCCGATGACGTGTGCTACCAGGGTATAAATACACGAAAATGCCACTAAATTGATGATGTGGTTCTCTTGAGGTTTGCATTGAATGTCGAAAAGACATGATTTTTCTGCGGCCCTATATTGGAACTAATGAGTAAACGTTTGGTTGCATGTTGGCGATAGTTATTACAAACCTGCGACCACCAATTTTTTTTTTTTTGCTTCTTGAGGGCAGCGTAGTAAAAAGTGACACATAAGTGCAAAGAGGTTGAGTGATTAGTTTTCTTTGCATTGAAAAAAAAAATTGCTCTGGTCCATCGAGTTATGAGCGCCAGCGCAACGGCGGCTGATAGATGGCGTAAGTTGTGGCGGAGCGTGCGTGTCCCGAAATCTTGGTGTTTCCAAAATACGCCGAAAGTACGTGGTCAGAGAGCGCACTGTCATCGGAGGTTCGCTATTACCGGGACCAATGAAATGGCGCCAAAAGTGCGCCGTGAGAGAGCGCGCTGTCTTCAGAAGTTCGCTATCACATTTACGTGACCACTCAGGCGAATTAGAGGCAATTAAATTAAGAAGGATGACAAGCAAATTAAGAGGAATCAAAGTGAATTAAGTAACTTATGGGTGTTTGTCTTTAATGCAACGGCGCTTGGGCTTTCGCCTCCAAGGCGTCTTAGGGATAACTATAGGGTTCTCCCCACGGTGGGCGGCAGTGGCTTCGTCGCCCACCGCTCCGACTGGCCGCCCATCGCTCCAACTGACCGCCTACCACTCGTTTCTTTTTTTTTTTTTTAATGGTGCGATTTTGCCTGCGCACATGGCTGCAGACCGTCGCCGTCGTACTCAACAGGTCCGCGCACCGCCACGTTATGGTTCGCTATCGCATCGCTGATTGCCGTCACTGCGACATTGCTTCAAACAAAAAGCGCGGGCGCTCGGCGTGTTTCTTCTAGAGCGCAGCTTTTAGGCGCCCGTTTCCGGCTTGAGCGGCGTCGCCGTCGCCGTCGTCGTAAGCGCGCGTAACCTTCGTAACCCCCCTTGTGAGGGTTACGAGGGTTACTCTCACGAAGGTTTCCCTCACGAGGACCACGAGGGTCACCCCCGTAGCCCTCATGAGAGTAACCCTGGTGACCCTCATGAGGGTTTCGAGGATTAGTTACCCTCAAACGAGTACAATCACGAGGGTTACCCTCGTAACCCTCGTGAGAGTAACCCTGGTGACCCTCATGAGGGTTTCGAGGGTTAGTTACCCTCAAACGAGTACAATCACGAGGGTCACGTGGGTCACAAGGGTTACCCTCACGAGGATTTCGAGAGTTACCCTCACGAGGGTTACGAGGGTTACCCTCACAAGAGTCATGAAGGTTACCCCCTGAGGTAACGTGACCCCCCTGAGGTCACGTGCCCCCTGAGGTCACGTGACCAACCTGAGGTCACGTGACCTGAAGGAGTCACCTATCCCTCAGTACCCTTTCATCCTATCCCTCCCTACCCTCCCTCCTCCTCCTCAAGAGCTGCGCTCTAATCCGGCGTTACAGAGAGTTGTAAACAGCTTTCATCCTTTCTTTTTTTTCTTTCTCTATATCAGCGGCGCTCCGCCGGCAGCGTCCCGGGGGGGGGGGGGGGGGGGGGGGGGGGTAGCGATAAACAGACGCGACGACCCAAGAAACCTAACAAAAAAACGAATGCTACCCCCCCCCCCCTTCACTCCCTCCCCCGGTCATGTCCACCTCTCAGAAATTCCTGGGGAGAACCCTGAGGATAACATAAGAGACCATGTGAATTTTTTCTTTTTCTACCGATCTACTATCAATGGAAATAGTCAAATCTCGATTCGATGCGCGACAGTCGCATCCACGTAAACGCAGCCACAGTCTAATTATATCAGGTGAACTTCCTAGAAATTGAATTCCACAGAAAACAATTGTTTGTGGGGAAATCGAACGCCGTTCCCCTCCATATATGCCAGAAATGCAATAGAGCGCGTATTTCGTATCCCCTTACCCCAGACACTGTTGTGTGACAAAACATAAATAAATAAAAATGGAGGTCGATGAAATACTTTAAAGCTAGCGCCCGAGTGTCCGAGCAGCCATTCCTCCAGGTATACATTTTCATATTTTTCTCATTTTTTCCCTTTTAATTATATTTCTTGTTTGGTCCGCCAAGGCCATATTCCAGATTTCTCAACTAAACACTGTGCCACCTTGAAGTTTGAACTAACCATTTCCTTTATTGTTTCCCTTGAATTACGAACGCTCATTTCTGAAACCGCATGCAACGCAAGGCGTACGTGTCCAGGAGGACATTGAAATAGAATCGATAACTCTAAATACATTTTATTACTAAGTTACAGATACCGTCTACAAATTTTTTCTTGATGCAGATTGAAATAGATATAATAGAAAAAATATATCAAGGATACAACAGGAAATGCTTGTACCGCAACGCAGCCCAGCTTGAAGTTACTGAGCATCACATGACTAACTAAAGAGAATATATGCAATTTATCAATGACAGATTCAAACAAAGGGCACATGAACGTGTTGGTTTATTGCAGTTGCCGCAACAAAAGTTACTTCCCTTGTTAACCACGGCACCAATCATCCACAAGTGATATTTTTCGCCTGCTCCAATTGCACCATCCAATTATTGAATTTTTCTTCCACTTCAGCACTGCAGGTTTGTAGAAAAAAAAAAGCAAGACTGGTTTTATAACGATCAAAACACACATATCGCTCAAGTACATCTATGAATTGTTTCTTTTTTAATTGCACTGCACTTTTTGTGCAATAGAATGCGTGATAAAAGATCCGCCCAAAAAGAGGGCAGTAAAATGTACTTTTTACAAACAAGATTTCGGGTACTTGAAGGAGATTTTGGTTTATTACTTGCAACAAAAATATACTTTTAGCCTCTTGACTCTTTTATAAAAGGTACAATGCCACTATTTTTGGACTTTCACTAAAAAACGCGCAGCAGTAATCTTTCACGTTCACAACCTACAAAACATGGGTTAGATTAAAAATCGTAATGGCAGTCGCAACAAAGTTAGAGAAAAAGGTGGCGTTAACTTCTTCAAGTTACAGGCAGAATGGGCAACACGATCTTGTTCTGATTGTATGCCGCCCAACCTTCATCGCAGTCGTGCACTGGGGTTGGCAAGTACATCGCACGTGCTAAGCTGCAGACAGCGTTAGGGGTCGGCTCTTCCAGTCGCGGGAGCGATTTGGCTCCAGTCACCACCCGTATACTTGTTCACGCATTGATTGTCATGAGGCCAAGTCGTGTGGTCACCTGTGTTGGGAAATACTTTGAGTACATTGTACAAGTCTCACTGCAAGGAGGTTTAGAATACTTGTACTTTACTCATAGTTCATTCACTGAGTAAGTACTCGTACTTTACTTGAAGTATTTAATTCTGGTACTTTCCGAGGAAAGTGAAACTGCTGACTTCCGAAGTACATTCCCACAATTTGGCCTTGTTCGATTTGAATCACTAAATGATGATTTGTCAACCCTGATGCCACTTGACTTTATCCCAAATTCGCCACCGATTCCGGAAATAACTTGTGCACTCCTGATTACCCTTGGAGCAATGCATCACCAGTTAGAAAAAACAATGTATAGGGCAGGGGTATCAAACTCATGCGAAAAGGGGAGGGGGGGGGGGGGGGGGGGCAAGTAGCCCACCCCGAAGGACTAGGTCCAACTAGAAAGGGTGGGATGGGGGTGGGGGAGGGCGGGGGCAATGTTCTGTTATTTTGAGACAAAAACAAAGAAAGAAACAAACAAACAAACACTGGTGTTTCACGTTGTAAAGCAGCCGGCTGTCCCAGCGACACCTCATAGATTTCTTAGACAAGAAACCTTGTGCTTTCTGCTTTTTGTAAGCTCATCATTTTCACTCTTTAGCTTCTATTTGCATATACGACTACTTTGGGTCCACAACTGGTTTTATGAAAAAATGTAAAACACCACTCTACCACAATAATTACAGTTTTCACAACTCGCCAAAGACACTTAAGACTGCTTTTGTGTTGGAATGCGAAAACATTCCTACACGCAGCGCATTCGTACAAGCAGCGCGCGCCACGTCTTGCTTTCGCACGCGTCTCTCCGGCGGTGACATCATGCTCCCCCACTGCGCAGGCGCGGCGAACCCCGGCGGCTTCACGACGGCTTTCGTGACGAAGCATCTGCCTTGCTGTGCTTTTGTTTGTCTTCTATTTCTGAGGCCCGTGCGGTCTGACCTTGAGCGCCCCCTCCGGCTTCCGTGAAAAAACAACTGCGTTGGTGTGTTCTTTTTTCTGAGACGCGTGTTTGGCGACCTATTTTTATGGCCAGTTTTCGGGCACAACGCCAATGCCGCTTTTTCGCGTAATGGGACAAGTAAGCCTTTCGCCTTAATAGAACGAGAGCAAGCACACTATTATTCCCCTGTCTAAGAACAAAAGCCCGAGATCATAGACGTCTAAAGTCAGAGAAAAATCTTGGACTTTAGACGTTACTCCTGCTGAGCAAGAGTTCGTGCAGCCGAGGTGCCTTTTTGAGCACAGAGCTCGCACTCGTGTACTCTAGTAGTTGTGAAGGTTGATTTACATGAGAAAGGGCTGAAAAGCAAATATTTGGACGAAGCAATACTTCTTCCAAAATATAAAGAAACAGAATAGTGCAAAATGCGTGCACAGGGTAAAGCACCTTTAAATAAATCGACGATATAAAACTTTAAAACATAAAAATGAGAGGGCTCGGCACTCACCCGACGGCCAGCATGGCTAAATTTCCGCAACTACTTCTGCAGGTGATGCCGATACTATTGGAAACGCCATCCAACACGCCATTCACGGTACCCGAGGACAGCATCGGACAACAACAAGTCATCATCCGCCCCCATTGGCTGGATTTTCATCGTGGGCGCGAAACGTCATCCACCACGCCACTACAAAAGCAAGGACCAGACCCGGCCAACATCAGAGGGCTCGGCACTCACCCGACGGCCAGCATGGCTAAATTTCCGCAACTACTTCTGCAGGTGATGCCGATACTATTGGAAACGCCATCCAACACGCCATTCACGGTACCCGAGGACAGCATCGGACAACAACAAGTCATCATCCGCCCCCATTGGCTGGATTTTCATCGTGGGCGCGAAACGTCATCCACCACGCCACTACAAAAGCAAGGACCAGACCCGGCCAACATCAGAGGGCTCGGCACTCACCCGACGGCCAGCATGGCTAAATTTCCGCAACTACTTCTGCAGGTTGGTTTACAATACAAGCAGCACAGTTATAAAAATAGCTACAAATTTGTGGTGATAGTGCCGTGCCCTCAAAAGTGTTTTGCCATTTTGTGTGATTGCTGGCGTCGGTTAATGTTGTTGCTGCTTTCTGGGGACGTTGAATCGAACCCAGGACCATTAACAATAGAACAGAAGTTAGAAAAGATTTTGGAAAATCAGGGCCAGATGAGTAAGGATCTTCAAGAAGTTAAAAGTGGTCAAGCAAATCTTAGGCAAGAAATGCATAATATTCACGGAAAAATTAATAAACTGGAAAATGCAATGTCAAATATTCAGAGCGAAATGGTGAAAGTTGATAGTCTAAAGGAAGTCGTTGCAAACCTAGAACAGACAGTCAGACAGCAAAGTGAAAAGCTAATTGACCTAGAAAATAGAGGAAGGCGAAATAATCTACTTATATTTGGCTTACCCGAAAAACACAACGAAAGCACTGAGAAACTGAAGCGAACCGTAACGAAAGATGTCTTCCTGGAGACTCTCGGCATCACAGTAACTTCGATTGAGCGAATTCACAGACTTGGACGTAAGCGCGAGGAAACGAATAGACCGGTAATCATAAAGTTCTTCGACTACAACGAGAGAGAGGAAATATTTAAAAACTGTAGAAAACTAAAAGGAACTAAGCTCAGTATCAGTAGTGACTACGCAAAAGAAACAGTGCAAGTAAGAAAACTATTATGGGGAAGCGCGGCATCGAACAGAGCAAAGGGCGATAAGGTATCACTTGTACATGACAAGCTGAAGATTAATGGTGAAACATTTGTGTGGGATCTTAATCTAAACCAGCGACGTCGTGTTCAACCCAGTGGGGCAGCCTACAACTGACGCGATGCAAGGGCGGCTGAAAACGATCCACCTGAATTGAGAGTTATTAGCCTAAACGCCCGAAGTGTGGTTAATAAAATTGAAGCTCTAGAAATTTTGTTTCTTGCCCACAGTCCCCATGTGGTAGCTATTACGGAAACATGGCTAAACTCCAATATAGAAAGCGATTGCATTGTTCCCCCCAATTATAAATTAGTTAGGTGTGATAGAACTACCAGAGGCGGGGGTGTGGCTATTTGTTTGAGAAATGACATTGATTGTGTGGGGCTTGAATGCGACTGTGATGAAACTGTTTGGTGCCGAATTTCTTATAACAGTCGAACGTTCCTTTTCGGAGTGGTTTATAGAACGCCAAACGCACCAGTAGAATTTTTGGAGGGCTTGAATGAGTTTTTGTGCAAATATGTAAATGATACTACCAAGGTAATCATGACTGGAGATTTTAATTTGCCCCATGTAAATTGGGCTCTTTTGACAGCTGGTGGCATTGATATCCTTAACGGAGAAAAAATAATTGACATAACGTTTAATCACAACCTTACCCAAATAGTCAAGGAATACACTAGAATCACCGACCAGTCTCAGTCAACATTAGACCTTGTCTTTATTACAGAAAACATATCGGATTACGAGATTTCAATTGTAGAAGGAATTTCAGACCATAAAATGATTTTGTTTACGATTCCACTACCACGACAGGGTCATTGCAGGGTTGCTAGGCCCCTAATTGTTAAAGACTTTACTCGCGCAGACGATACAAGTATTATAGATTACTTAGAGACATCCTTAGAAACATTAGACCAACTAAGCATTACAAGTACAGTAGATGATCTGTGGAATTTTTTTAAAACTACTACTTCCTTTTGTATTAATTCCTTTGTTCCCAATAAAACTAAAAAGACATATCGCACAAATCCCTGGATAACGCGTGAAATTATCCACCTAAAACGTCAAATCAAAAGGCACAGAAAAGGTTTTAAAGAACATATAAATGCTCTAAAAATTAAATTAAAAACATCACTCAAACAAGCCAAAGAGAGATTCTTTTCAGTGACTCTTCACAACTTTATAAAAACTGCCCCTCAGAAATTCTGGCGTTTCTTAAGAGGAAAGAATGATCGAGCAGATTGTTGAAAACGATGTGGTCATTACTGACAGTGCAGAAATGGCAGATCGGTTTAACGTGTTTTTCCAATCAGTCTTTTCAGCCCACGACGTACAAAATCTCGATGAGGCCTTTCATTCTGATATTGAAACGAGTACGCCAGAAATAGAGATAAGCCAGTCCGGAATATTTGCTAAGCTATTGTCACTGGATACAAAAAAATCAACAGGCCCGGATAAAATACCGAATGAATTCTTAAAGCGATATGCAGAGTGGCTATCTTTTTATTTAAAAATTATCTTCGACAAATCATTACAAACGGAGTCACTCCCGCAAGATTGGCTATCCGCACGTGTCGTCCCTGTGTTTAAAGGAGGAAGCCGCTTTACGATAGAAAACTACCGGCCTATTTCATTGACCAGCGTTTGCTGTAAAGTGATGGAGCACGTCATTTCAAAATATATATTTACTTTTTTAGAGGAGCGAAAGACGTTATACTCTCATCAGCATGGCTTTCGAAATGGTTTGTCAACCGTAACGCAGCTTGTTGAAACGTTTCATGATTTTTCTTTATCTGTAAATAATAAGGAACAGATCGATGTAATTTGTATAGACTTTTCAAAAGCATTCGACCGCATACCTCACAAAAAATTATTATTCAAATTAAAAAAGATAGGGTTGTGTGATAAAATCGTTAACTGGATAGAAGCATACCTGTCAAATCGGAGTCAAAAAGTTGAGATAAATGGAAACATATCTCCACCTCTATCTGTAACCTCAGGAGTCCCGCAGGGCTCAGTCTTAGGTCCATTATTGTTTTTGATATATATAAATGATATAGCTACGCATATTGCAGAACCTGTAAAACTAAAACTTTTTGCAGATGATTGCCTTCTTTACTCTGTCATAAACAATACTAATGATCAATTAGCTCTTAATAGGAACCTGGAAAATCTAAGGCAATGGTGTGAGGACTGGCAAATGCAAATAAATTTTCGTAAGTCGACATATATCCATATAACGAACAAAAAAAGCGTTTTGAAATTTTGTTATAATATAGGCAATGTTAATTTGAGTGTTGTAAACAGTTTTAAGTACCTTGGTGTGGTGATCTCACACGATTTGCAATGGCGCACCCATATAGATAATGTCTACTCCTCTGCCTATCGAAGTTTGTGCTTTCTTAAACGAAAGTTAAAACATGCAACTAGTAATGCCAAAATCACAGCTTATAAGACAATGATCCGTCCTATTTTAGAGTACGCCAGCATTGTATGGAGTCCAAACAAAAAAGTAGACATCAATAGACTAGAAAAAATTCAAAGGCAGGCTGCACGTTTCATTCTTAATAAATACAAACGAACAGACTCTGTGACTGAAATGCTTAGCCAGTGTGGACTTCAATCATTAGAAACTAGACGGAGAATAGCGCGGCTAAAGTTCTTATTTGCGTTGTATAACAATCACTTAAACATTGAACCTGAACTATATTTAAATGAAACACATAAACGATCGCGCAGATTAAATCACAATAAAACAATCCAACCGTATAATAGTAGGATAGACGTTTTTAAATATTCATTCTTTGTGCAAACAATTGAAGACTGGAACCAACTTCCAGATTATGTCATTAATTCTGCAAATATGTCCCAATTCGAGTCTTCTTTAGAAAAGATATTTACCCAGCAATAAATAAGAAGGGCGTTTTTCCTTTTTTTCTATTTCACTTCTTTTTACAAAGTGTGGCGATATGATTCACGTTGTCTTCAATTAAAAATTGTATAACAGTCTTCTATTACGTACATATGTATAGAGTTCAAATTTTTTATATGACTATATATATTGTTGCTACCTCTCCTGTAATAGCCTTCAAGTGAAGGCTGACAGTATTCTTAAATAAAAATAAATAATAAATAAAATAAAATAATTATGGCACATGGCATGCTCGTGGCATTGGGAACGGGGGCTCGGAGACGCGGGATACCTGTGGGCCACATCCCAGAGAGTCGTGGGTCACGCGTTTAAGAACCTTGTTATAAAGAACTAAAAGGGCATATTTAAGTATTCCGAAAGAAGAAAGATTAAAAACTACCTGTACTTTACTTTGAAAGTACATAGTATTTATTGTACTTTATTTCAAATACATTGCCCCGAGGTTTGTACTTAAAATGCATAACCTATCAAATACTTTGTATTTTACTTGAAGTACATTTTAGGTGTGCTTTACCCAACACTGGTGCTCACACAGTGCTTGTGTTAATTCCATGGGCTGCATTTGAATATCGTTCTTATGAGATAATCCAGCGTCAACGAGAACGACACAATTCCCGTTACTACATCATTATGTTTGGCGAGGGGGAAGTCGGAAGAAAAAATCCACAAGTACCGCCGAAATTACACAGCGGCAAAGACGCTTCTTCGTCAGTGGTGTTGCGGGCAAGTATACTAGGATAGCACAAGTTCTAGTATGTTTGTGTAAAACGAAAAACGTTTCAACTTAATGTCTTTCTTTTGTATGGGAGCGCTTTGGTTTAGTGTAAAACCTTGAGAAAGATTGAAAACCTAATAGAACACGAACAGCACACACACAAAAACTGTACTTTCTGCACTCTGTCCTTATATAGTTTTTTGCCCTATCGTTCCGGGATCCGTTAAATATTACTATTACTATTTGCTACTTTTGCTAATACTGCTACCTTTGCTAATACTTTTGCTTTTAATTTTGCTCTTAATTTTGATAAATATACAGTCACCCTTATACTCATATCAGCATGTAATATATTTTGGTATCTTAATAATTATTGCAGCAAAGCAACTTGCACGATAGGTTGCAAATTTTAGGCAAAGATTCGCCTCATCACCAGGCATTGCGCGTGGCCATCGCCACGCCAACTCCCCACAAGTCATCGTCGAGATGTTAGTTGGCCGAAACACAGCACTGAGAGGCTTCAGGAACTGTATTTGGATCGTCAGGTTTCGGTTCCTATCAGGCTCTTAGTAGTCGACGTGAGCATGTGGAGTTGGGTATAAAATATGACGCGTTATCGATTTCATAAATACGAATTAAAATTGAGCTATGTCTATTAAAAACAAATAAAACACGTTGAAAATATTAACTTTATGACCGGCTTGCAAGCAGAGAAAAGGCACCCGACCCTCACATTCCCTGTCACCAGACCTCCCAGAACATAAAAGGAGGCCTCTCTTTTTCTTCTCGCCATTTTCTGACCATATTCTCTTTTTTTTTCTTTTTGATTGTCTGTTTGATTTTTGCTTTGTGCAACTTTGAGGCGGGTACAATGAAAGTTTAAATGTAAACCCAGACAAAAAATAGGTTATAGGAAAATATCTGAACATCTGAGTATACATAACAAAGTTGACTGGCTACGTCTTGCCTAGGGGATTCGATGGAATGACGCATGGTCCGGCAAATATAGTAAACTGTTCTCGTACTAGCTCTGCACAGAATGAATGGAGAGCCAATAAGTACCACTTGTGTTATGGCCAAACAAAGACAAATGCTAAAATTTGTATTCAGACTTGTGGCACGCCCAAAGGATTAGTGAACGATAAATAACTTCTTGAGAAATATACAGAATAGAGCAGGTGCAAATAACTGGTACCCGCAAAAGAGAAAAAAAAGGAGCGTTAAGGCAGCGAGAACATTTTCTCCTGACTTACCAGCTTACCGCCGGGGCAAACTTCTCTTGGCAGCCGCAGCCTTTGGTCACGATCCACACATGTCACTTGGCACGATGAAGGATGACGACCACCAACATGCTGCAAAGCATTCACATATTGTCAGGAATAAGGAGGTGACGAATCAAAGAATAACCGAGGAAACTAAAACGTTTCCTCGGCGACCAAAACAAAAAGCAGACAGACGAAAACAACGTAGCGTCGCGTGCGTCGAAGTCGGCGTGACATCAGGATCGGACGCTGGGACGAGGCTGAA